ATTACACACTTGCTCTCCGTCAGGCTTGTGGCCGAGTTCTTGCTCTGGGAAGTGAGAAGGGGTGACTTCTATGATTAGTCCTGTTTCACACGGGAGAAAACCAAGGCTCTGAGAGGTTTTGTCATTTTTCTTGGGGAATGCAGTGAGCAGAACTTGAACTCAGCATAGCCAACCTCTAGAAACCAAGTTCTTAGCCATGTTTTTGCCCCCGATGTACTGCCTCGCCCAGTTTTCACAACGCCCCTATTAAGTCTGTACCTTCATTGCCCCTGGTTGTCAAAGGAGGCCACTGAGACTCAGAGAAGTAAAGTTACTTGCCCAAGGACACACAGCAGCAGAGTGGCAGAGCCAGGATGGCTCAGCCTAGGAGTAGAGTGAGCATGGTTGTCACAAGATAGCAGGGGAGCCCCAACTGGTTTGGCCCCCAGATTAATGGGTCCCAGGTTTGATTCCAGTCAAGGGCACCTCAGTTTTAGGCTCGATCCCAAGCCCTGGTTGGGGTAGGTGCGGGACGAAACCAATCAATGTGTCTCTCACGTCCATGTTTCTTTCTCTGTGTCTCTCCCCCTCCCTTCCACTCTCTCTCTTTCTTTAAAAAAATATATTTTATTGATTTTTTACAGAGAGGAGGGGAGAGGGATAGACAGAAACATCGATGAGAGAGAAACATTGATCAGCTGCCTCTTGCACGCCCTCTACTGGGGATGTGCCCACAACCAAGGTACATGCCCTTGACCTGAATCGAACCTGGGACCCTTGAGTCCGCAGGCTGACGCTCTATCCGCTGAGCCAAACCAGTTAGGGCAGGGGTGGGCAAACTTTTTGACTCGAGGGTCACAATGGGTTCTTAAACTGGACCGGAGGGCCGGAACAAAAGCATGGATGGAGTGTTTGTGTGAACTAATATAAATTCAAAGTAAACATCATTACATAAAAGGGTACGGTCTTTTTTTTTTTTTTTAGTTTTATTCATTTCAAACGGGCCGGATCCGGCCCTCGGGCCGTAGTTTGCCCACGGCTGGGTTAGGGCCTTCCACTCTCTCTTGAAATCAATGGAAAGATATCCTCAGAGGAGGATTAACAAAAAAACAGATTAATCCCCCTCCCCCCCAATGAAAAATAAAAATAAAAACAAGATAACAGGAGAGTGAGCCTACTTTAGATACAGTGTCTTGGGCTGGGTTGGGGGCCAGGGCTCAAGCTGAGAGTCTCAGCAACTTTCCTGGGAATTGGTTTTTAAAGCTCAGCCAAGCCCCTGCTGGTGTGTCTCAATTGGTTGAATGTCCTCCTATGTGCCAGTTCCATTTCCAGTCTGGGCACATGCTGGGGTTTCAGGCCTGATCCCCAGTAGGGGGCGTGCAGGAGGCAGCCAATGGCTGTTTCTCTCTCCTCCCTTCCTCTCTCTCTCAAATCAATAAAAACAATTTTTGCCCTAGCTGGTTTGGCTCAGTGGATAGAGCATTGGCCTGTGGGCTGAAGGGTCCTGGGTTTGATTCCAGTCAAGGGCACATGCCTGGGTTGCGGGCTTGATCCCCAGTAGGAGACGTGCAGGAGACAGCCAATCAATGATTCTCTTATCATTGATGTTTCTATCTCTCTCTCCTTCTCCCTTCCTCTCTGAAATAAAAATATATTTAAAAAACTATTTATTATTAATTTATTTTTAATCCTCACCCGAGGATATTTTTCCATTGATTTTTAGAGGTGGAAGAGAGGGAAAGACAGAAACATTGATGTGAGAGAAACACATCAATTGGTGGCCTCCTGCATGCGCCCTGACCAGGGCCTGGGCCAGGGAGGAGCCTGCAACCGAGGTATGTGCCCTTGCCGGAATCGAACCCGGGATCCTTAGGTCCGCAGGCCAATGCTTTATCCACTGAGCCAAACCGGCTAAAAACATTTTTTTAAAAAAGCTCAGCTAAGCACACTTGACCTAAAAGACCTGGGCCACACCCCAGGCTGTGAGCTAAGAGAGCTTCACATAAGCATGTAGTTATGCTAATAACTGATGCACAGTGCTGGTTCTATGCCAGGCCCTGGGGTGTATCTGTATCTAGAACTACTTTACAGCCCTAGAAGAGGTACTACAGTAGTCCCAGGACCCCTCATCCACAGGAAATATAGTCCAAGACCCCTGTGGATGCCTGAAACCACAGATAGTACTAAACCCTGTATGTACTTTTTTTTCTCTACATACCTACCTATGGTAAAGTTTAATTTTTTAAAATATATATTTTATTAAATTTTTTTTTTTTTTTTTTTTACAGAGAGGAAGGGAGAGGGATAGAGAGTTAGAAACATCGATGAGAGAGAAACATCGATCAGCTGCCTCCTGCACACTCCCTCCTGGGGATATGCCCGCAACCAAGGTACATGCCCTTGACCAGAATCGAACCTGGGACCCTTGAGTCCACAGGCTGACGCTCTATCCACTGAGCCAAACTGGTTAGGGCTGGTAAAGTTTAATTTATAAATTAGGCACAGTTAGAGATTAACAACTAATAATAAAATGAACAATTATAACACTATACTGTAAAAAGAGTTATGTTAATGTGGTCTCTGTTATTGAAAACTTTCACCTTTTCACTTAAAGGAAGCACTTCATGGCTTCAATTTGGCATATCCAAATTGCCAGCATTGCTACCCTTGTACTTTGGGGCCATTACTAAGTAAAATATTGCTATTTGAACACAAGCACTGGGATACCATGACAGTTGATCTGATAATCAAGATGGCTACTAAGTGACTAATGGTTGGGGAGGGGAGGAGCATACATAGTGTGGATGTGCTGGACAAAGGGATGATTCAGCTCTGGGCTGGATGGAGCAGGCTGGCACAAGACTTCCTTGAACTACTCAGAATGACATGCAATTTAAAACTTACGAATTATTTCTGGAATTTTCCATTTAATATTTTGGACTGCGGTTGACTGGTGTTAACTGAAACTGTGGGAAGCGAAACCAGATTGAAGAAACTGAGGCACAGAGAGGTTGTCACTTGCCCAAGGTCACACAGTAGAAAGTGGCTGAGCTGGAACTGAAACTTGGAAGCAGGAACAATGGCTAGGGGAGAGTAAGGGGCCACCAAACACTGACCTGTATCTTCACTCCCATGTAGGTAGGCATGGCAGAATAAAGGAATGAGGAAACTCTTTATTTCCACCATACACTACCTAAGGGGAAAAAATTCAGAGTGTACAGTATGCACCATTTGTGTAAAACAGAAAAATGCACTTACACAGCATCTCTGGGAAGGCATACACTCACTGGGAATATTCGCTGGGGTGGACTCAAATAGCAGGGTGGGAGGATTCTCACTCTGCCCTTGCAAGTTTGGTATTTCAATTACACAGCCAACAACTGAACCCCAAATTTAGAAATTATAGTTATACAAGCACACCCTGAGGATGCACAAAAAAAATGTTTTTAAATAAAATCTGATGCCATGGCTTGTTTATACAGGCACGGAGGGCAAGGGAGCTGCAGGCCCAGAGGGGTGAGGGGACTCGACTTCTCACCTCAGGCTTGATAAACATTTTGAGTTTTTACTGTTTAAATCATGCAGAAATGTGACACTACTGGTACAATGGATCAAGATGAGGTGGGTCAGAGGGGAAGCTCTGCATGTCCTGACAGGCCAGGAACTCCAAAACGTGCCGAGAGGCAGCATGGGAACAGGAAAATGAATCCCTAAAGGGCAGCCCAGGAAGTGGTCTGCTAATGGACCCACCAAACATCTCTGGACACACACATCCAGGTCCAGCATGCGCAAAACAGTGCACACCTGAAAAGCAGGTTTTCTTTCCACCTGAGTCTTTTTTTTTTACCGTGATCACTGCTCTGAAGAATCACTGCCCCACCCACACCCTCAATAGGTTGTTTCTGGAAGTTCCCATTACTGTGTGCACATCCAGGCTTTGTGCACTTTCGGATATTAAGTTCACAGGGACCTGCTACATAATGGAGACTGGGGGCAGGGGGCAGGCAGCACTGGGGATGGTGACCCTGTCTGCAGCCAAGTTCAGTTCTGCATTCAATGTCTTCTTGGTGCCTGAGGCAGTTCAGTAAACATCTCGTGATGAGGTCCTTTTTGGCTCTGCTATCTGGGGTCACTTCCCAACTAGGATGGCTCAATGTGGCTGCTCTTCTAAGAAGAGACCTGTCCTAGATTTGGGTGAAAAGCTCTCAATTCTAGTTCTGTGCTTTCCAATAGTTGCCACTAACCATGTGCAGCTGCTGAGGACTTAAAATGTGGCTGGAGAGACTGAGAAATTGAGTTTTTAATGTTATTGAATTTAATTTCCATTTAAACTCAGAACATTCCCTTCATTACAAAGTTCTCTTGGACAGTGCTGCTCCCAGACTGTTCTCAGGGGTTAAATTGCTGTAGTGGGAAGGGAAAGCCACTCCTAGGTTGACTTTAATATGGTGTTATTTTTACTGACTTTTTTGTAGCTAAGTAGCAATACATTGTTTCCAGCCTGTATACTTACTTACCTTATAGTAAAACCAGTCCCTTAAAAAAAAAAAAAAATGTTACAGAGTAAAAGCAGCCTCAGTGGTGTGCAAAATAAGGGAGAGCAGGAAGCGGTCTTCTCCAGGGCAGGCAGCCAGCACCGGCCTGGAGTCCTAGTCAGGCTTGGCCAGGGCCTGCCCAACAACCCAGCCTGTTCCAGCAAGAAAGGACTGGAAGAGGATTAAGAGGACAGAACATGCACTGCCCCCCTGGGCCCCAAAAGACAGAAAGGAGAAATGCTTAACTTTGGCCCCAACCTTCACAAAAAAATAAGCTCTGAATCCAGTGGGGTCTTGGATATCTAGATGCAGAGTCTGGGTGGGTTGAAACTCCCCAACCGACATGGAGCCCAGGAGGGAACAGTTATCTCTTTGGCAGAGGACTCCTGCCTCTCCTGCAACTCCTCCCTCCTGTTCTGGCTGGAGGGATACCCAGCCCCGCCCCAGTCAGCAGAGCCCTCAAACAGAGTCGCAGGACTGCTCCCCTGAGGTTTAGCATCAGACTTTAATGCTGTCTTTAACGCTGCACATTGACAAGTCACACACTTTGGTCTTGTATTGGCAGTGGCAACTTACAATGAGTCTAAAGGTCTGAGCACCAGACTGGCCTATAGGGAACAGATACTCATTTCCTCCCCCCCCCACCCCCCCGCCCCCATTCTTTCCCATTATGGGCCTGTACAGAGAGCAGCAGCTGCCATGGACTGGTTTCATTTGAAAGTACACCAACTTTACATGGAATTATAAAAACATATTTACAGACGTCCCACAGTGCTCCTATAATCAGGAGCAAAGACCCTTTTATCAAAAGGGATTATATCTAGGGCTGTGCAAAATTCAAAAGGATCAGATCCTTTTGAAAGAGTCCAGAGTCCATTAAACAAAGCATGTCCCGGGCCATTGGGAAGGCCCAGTGTGCCAAAGATTGCCTTAAAGGAAAAGACCCTTCAGTGAGCACACTTGGCCTCGGAGCCTGAGGTTGAAAAGGGCTCCTGACTCTCGAGGGAGAGGTGGCTGTGCAAGTCACTCTGAGGCTGGCTCCCTTGGTCCTGCTGGAATGAGAGGTATTGCTTGTGGGTGCAGGCCAGGCCTTTCTGCAAAAATAGTCTAGGTTCTCAATTTGAGATGGTAAAAGATGGGATTCTTCAGAGGAAGAGCAAGACATGGGAGACAAATACAGAAGGAAACACAAATTGGTCACACAACAAATTGAAGAGCATTCAGGGAAGGTGTGGTGACCAGGATGGCAGGTTGCCATCACCTAATGGCCGCAAGCAAAGGGATGACAGAGGGCTCAAGTCCAGCTGCAGGGCTGCCTCTCGGCCCTGGGCAGGGCCTGGAGGAGGAGGGGTGGGCCCATCCCAGGAGGGCTGCAGAACCCAGTGGGGCAAGCTGGAACGCCTTCTCCTGCTGTCACCACCACCTACCGCCCTATCGGCTCGAAAAACCACTGAAGTCTAGTGCACGACTTTGAAAGATTGTAATATATTCTCTGGAAAACATTCAGCAGTACGAAAGCCCTCCCTGGGCCCTCCCGCCCTCTCACGGGTCCACAACTGGTGGAACGGTCCAGAAATCCTTGAGCTCTGGAAAGGTCCCTGGTCAGTCCTTGGGGAACACAGGTGGCTATTTTGGAAGAACCTGCTCAAGTATGGTTCTTGACGTCTGGGGAATCCTTTCGGGGAAGATCACTTCAAACTCAATAACGAGGTCCCCGCGTTTCTCGGGTGTTTTCGGGAGAGGGAGGCCTTCTCCAGGAACTTTTCGCCGCATGCCAGGCCTGATGACATCTTTGAACACGATGGGTATGGTCCTGCCGTCCAGAGTGGGGACATTCACAGTACAGCCACACAGAGCCTTAGAAAAGCAAAGTGACAGCATTAGGTAAAGGGTATAACTTAGGAAGTTCCACTCCAGCCTAGAGGCTGTTTGGGGTAGGGTAAGAGCCATCAGGCCTCTGCAACTAAGACTCTGCCCCCAGGTCTACCCAGGTCAGCATCATGGAAGCTCCAGAAAAATGGAGTTTTGATAAGCTGTGTACCTGGTGCCCCCGCCCCCCCATCCTTCCCCAAATCTAACAGACACCAGGAGCTCAAAACTATCTGTCAAACAAAGACAAGTATGTGTCAAAAAGCAGCCCTTTCTCCAGACACCACTCTGCCTAGTGCCTTACCTCCCGGAGGGTGACCCTGGCTGGGTAAATGACATCAGAGCCATCTCTCTTAAAGATATTGTGTGGCTTGTCCTTTAAAACAAAGACGATGTCAGCTGGAATGTTGTTAGAGGTCTGGTCTCCCTCCTTGGGGAAGGTGATTTTGGTCCCTTCTTTCCACCCCCGTTTCACTTCAATGGTCAAGATTTTGTCTTCGTTGCGAATGCTCTTCCCATCGGGGTTCAGCCTTTTATGGGAGATCTTCATCTTCTTGGTACAGCCGCTGTAGATCTCTTCAAGGGAGACCCTAAGGTCATGGGTGACAGGGGGGTCTTGCTTCTTTCGGGTGGGCTCTTGGGCAGGGCGGGAGCGGACAAAGTTCATGTTGGTGAAGCCACCCATGCCCATGGGGAAGCCAGAGAACGGGTCATCAATGTCCATGCCTTCTTCCCCGTTCCGCTGTCCAAAAAAGGTGTCAAAGGGATTTCGGCCACCGAAGAACTCAGCAAACATGGCATGAGGGTCTCCATGGAATGTGTAGCTAAAGGAGGTACCGTTAGCACCACCGCCGCTTCCACCACTGGGGCCACCGCCCTTTAGGCCTGAAAGGAGAATTAAAAGAAGTCAGATGGCTGGCCAGGGGCTTTCCTTAAGGGAAAAAACCTTGGGAGCCACCAGGAGAGGAATTTTATTTAGCCTGCCAGAGAAGAACAAGGGAACCTGAATTTTTGTTGTTGTTCATCCTCACCCTAGGATATTTTCCCATTGATTTTTTTTTTCTTTCTTAGAGAGAGAGGAAGGGAGGGAGGGGCGAGGGGAGAAGAGAGAGATCAATGTGACAGAGACACATGGATTGGTTGACTCTGGCACATAACCCGACCAACCAGGGAGGGGGATTGAACCTGCAACCCTTCAGTTCAGGGGCCCATACTCTAACCACTGAGCACTCCAGCCAGGGCAAGAACCAGAGCCTTTACCTCCATCAAGGTCCTTCAGTGTGGCATGACAGGGGCAAGGCAGCTCAGGCTCTGAAATGGGCCTCTCTAGGGGCTACCCAGTTCCTGTCACTTCTTCACTGACCCACCCTCCCCAAATGATATAAGGACTTAAAAGAATTCACTAAGAGATCAGATAAATGCCCAGGGGACTTGGCTCAGTGGTTGAGCATGGACCTATGAACCAGGAGGTCATGGTTCAATTTCCAGTCAGGGCACATGCCCGGGTTGCAGGCTTGGTCCCAGTGGGGGTGTGTGCAGGAGGCAGCCAATCAATGATTCTCATCATTGACATTTCTATCTCTCTCTCCCTCTTCCTTCCTCTATAAAATCAATTAAAAAAGAGAAAGAGATCAGATGAAAAAAACCTGACCGAGGGTCAGCTTTCAGGAAGTGCTTACTCTCAAGTCCTTTAGGGCTGGAGCCATGTGTGGGGAGAATAAAAAACGTTGGTAAAACAATACTCGGAGGTTTTCAAATTCTCACACCCTGGCACTAACTGCCACCATATAAAAATCCAGTTAATTTCTTAACACCAAATCCAGAAGCCAGTCTGAGTCAACCATGAGCAACTGGACAAACAAGAAAGCCGCTTTCTCCTCCCCCGAGGAGGGCTACCCGGGGAGGCTGGGCAGAGGCGGGCCCCTGTTCTCTGTCCCTTGCCGGCCGCAGTGGCGCAGGCTGCCATCGCCATGCCTGGCTCTGGGCTGGGTAAGCCCTTGACTGCGATCAGCTCACTCCGCCCTCCCTGGGCCGGGGAGTGAGGTGGAGAGAACTGGCGCTCCCTGTGCGGGCTCACCCTGCACTCAGGTGGTGCTCGGCGCTCACCCAGAGGCCCGGCCCCGCACCCCTGGACAGGACAGCACGGCCTCCACCAGTCCCAGGTCAGCCGGGGCCTGTGGGCCCGCAGCGTCACCGGCCGAAGACACCGCCGTTCCCCTCTGCGTCCGCACCCGCACCCGGGGCCGCGGGCGGAGGCGCCCAGGGAGGGGCAGCCCCAGATGTGTTAGAAGCTTCTGGGCGAGCGACGCGGCCAGCGTTCCTCCTCCCTTCCGGCGGCTGCCAATCCGAGGGCGTAGGCCCGCGCGGCCAGAGGGCGGGGGCTGCTCGCCGCCGGCCCCGGCATCCAC